TCCGGGAGACCTCAATTTTGTAATTTTCAAATTGCCAATATCTTTCTCTATCTATGATAAATTCAGAAATTTTTCAATTCTCCCAAATAATATATATATACTAAAATAAGAAGAAATAATAATTGCAACCAAGATCTTGACTAAGGGGAGCTCGCAAGAGATATTTTAATAGGAATTCAGCAAAATAATCGATATCAATTTCTTAAATACTTTTTATCGGATTCAGAATGAATTCTCTTTTAATTTCTGGGATAGAGTTTGAAATCTTCGAATTATCATGATGAATCGAAATTTAATCTCTCATCCTATTTCTTAATCTTTCAGCATGATATTAGATATGATGATTTCTGCTAGTTCTCCTGTATATCACCAGATTTCTTCCAAATCCTCTGGAATCCCTGATTTTCTGAAGTTTGCCTTTAAAATCTTAAGCACTTTTTGTTCATCAGTAACAAGCGCAGCTGCAAGAAAATTTATTAATCACAGGCCCGCGTAGGCCTTCCTGGAACCTCGCAGCAGCCCTACAGAAACCTGAGTGCGTGGACCAATATGCCAAAACGATTTCACAAACAAAACTCCTTACGCTTGTAAAGGGATAGAACGTCTGGAGTTCCTCAGGTTTCCACGTTCTGCAGCCGTATGTACAGGTCTGCAAGCTGCGCCGAGGCGGCTCCTGCCTGCACTTCGCATGGGCTATGGCTTAGCGCTCAGTGCTTGGGGCTTGTAGAGGTCAGGGGACGATTGCACTTCTTGTATTGCTGCCATGACATGTAATTCCACCTCTGATTTCAGATTTACCCACCCTAAACCCTAAACCCCAAACCCTAAACCCCTCCTGCAGAGTATTTCGTCTATATCCCATCAAGGTACGGGCTGCTCCATAAAGGATCAAAAAAATCGGTGAGCCTCCAAAACAGCAATCGCCGCCAACGTCAGCGAAAGTCATATGCATCTTAGTGAGCTTCGACGGGCGCCTGTCAAGCATGTTAGCTGACCAGTAGGGGCCTTATACTTCAAAGAGGGTGTTGGGGTAGTTATATCCTTCTTCTAAGCCAAAGGAGGATAGAATCTACCTTGTACTGGGAAAGTATCCAAGCCCTAAACCCTAAACCCCTCAACCTTACCCTAAACACTAAAACCCCCTTCATAATCAAAACGCAACTCACGTGAGGTTGCCTCTGCCCAAGTCCCTTGACGGGTGTCCACGGATATCCTGCGGCTGAGGTCATGGAACAGAGATGGAGAAGCGGGGGTTTTAGGGTTTAGGGTTTAGGGTCATGGCTTAGGGCTTAAGGGCTTAACGTCCCAATGTGCTACTTAGACAGTTTTTGCCCCATGTTCCTCAAAGTCTCATACCAAGACACATCACACAAACTACTCACTACTCGTGCTGACTTGCTTGCAACGCTAAATCCTTGCGCGCGTGCTACGCCTTGACATCCCATATCTTCAGCCGCATCGAGACCCTAGTGCAAATCCCTCCAAACCCACGAGGCCCAGTAAAATCCAGCTCTACCAAACATAATCCCAAGCCGTAAGCCGAAACCCCACACCCTAAACACTAAGCGCTAAACCCTATATGTCGTCCCTAGAAAATCGTAAGCCCCAGCAAGCAGCCATGCCCCCCGCAAAGAATGTGAATATCCAGGTATCAAAAGAACAGCAATCTGTGCGGGACCCCTTTCTTGGTTGCTGTTACGGAACTTGTATTAAGTTACCATCACAAGGAAGTTTGAAGATTCGCCATATGTCCATCTTCTGGTAGTTGAATCACAACAGCGACTGTTTTCTTGACTTCTTTGAACCGCACACCCTAATCCCGAAACCAAAGCCCCCGGACCCTAAACCCTCAATCCTAATTCCCAGGCCCTAAACCCTAAACCGCCTGTCCTTGTCGCCAAAGCGCTCCATGGCTGCAGAGATCGGTGCCACCAAGTTCTGCCCATAGGACTCCTGTACAGACCCTGGGAGGATCTAGAAAGTACAGGTGTAGGGGGTTTAGGGGGGTTAGGGTCTTCAGGAGGTTTAGGGCTTAGGGGGCTGAGGGCTTGAGAGGGTTAAAGGTTTGTGACCTACTATCTGGCGACAACCAGGAAATTTGAAGGAGATCTGCTTTCTAGATCCTCCCAGAAATCTGGGCAGGAGGTTTAGGGTTTTCTGTCGCCAGCTGTGGTAGAAATCTACTACAGGTGCGTCTTCCATCCTGTAAGTTATGAGAGTCTAATTTGGCCTTTATGGGAGTACTCTGCAAACTACCGTCCCCACCCGTAGATGGCTTCAACTTAAGGTGGAAGGTTTAGAGTTTAGGGCTTGAGAGTTTTGAGTTGAGTGCGTAGGTCGACAGTTTGGGGTGTGGGTTTAAGCCCGAGGCTTAGGGTTGAGCGCTTAGGCTTTACATTTTTTGAATCCAGGGTGTGCAAGGTTTGTGGAGCTGTAAATTCTGCGCGAAGGCGGCGATGGACGCCACCCTTTGTTTGCATCACTACTACTAGGACGCGCAATATCAGTGGCAGTATGGTTATTCGTGCTATTTGTTTTAGGATTTTTGTTCTCACTATTGTTCTTACTACTACTGTTACTATAACCAGTACTCTTACTTTTACTCTTAATACAAATATGATAGTTATTATGGTGCGAAGTCGGGCATGAAGGCATGCCTCCCTTGTTTATACCCTGTTCTCTGACTTACTGAAGAAGGCACCAAGATCCCCTAACTGCGTCATTAAATATTTTTTCAATACTCATATGGGGGTTTCCCAAAACTAGGGGTACCTTTTGGGGGGTTCCTATAATACGGACTATAGTGTATTGTGGTCTATATTGGGGTGTATTGTGGTCTATATTGGGGTCCCCATACTATGGGAAACTACCACATACAGTATCCCCTCGAACGTGCCTTCTCGCTGACGATCCTTATAGTGCAAAGCTATGCTGCCCTCTCCCCAATGTATAGAATGCTCACCTTTCTCCTGACAATGACATTGGCGTCAAACGAATTTGGCTACTAAATCTTTGAGGGCATGCACAGAAACTATTGGGGCCCGGGAACTTGCTGTTCCCAAACCTTTCATCATCCTAATATGGGGTATATAGGGGTCTTATTATAATATGCCCAAAACCATATTCTATCTACTTAAGGGGGACAATGGGATTGAACTTCTTCTTCATCCTACACCATAGTCGCCAAACCCTTTACCTTCAGCAAGTCCCTCCAACTCTCACTTTGCAACCTCTCCTTTGTGTTCTTGGAAGCTGATAGATGGTCATCAGCCACATCACACCCTACCCTTAGATGGCTTGGGTCACGGCATGATGAAAAGAATTCAGATGTCAGAAGACTACTGTAGCGAAGGCAGTTGGGTAACCTTGGCCGCCATAATTATATAGTATTTTGCCAAAATCAGGGAAGCCCAGCATAGAGCCCAATATACTAGAATCCTTACAAAAGGGATCCCCCAAAAGGTACCCCTAATTTTGGGAAACCACCATATCTGTCAGAACTGTGAATACAAAAAAGTCCTCATCTTGGGTGTTGGGGTTACAAGCTTCCCACTCATTCTACTGCGGGCGTCGCTTGCCCTAGCTCCGAAGTCCTAAAACATCGAGTCGGCCCAAGAATGTACCAAGTTGTCTTTTCGTCTTTTTACTGGTTGTTAGGCGAATGGAAATCAAATGGAAGCTGGGGGTTATAGGGTTATGTAGGCTTTGGGGTTTTAGTGCTGGCTGTTAGCACGGAATGTAGGAATGGAAAAAAGGGAATGTGAAATACGATATTCTTAGATAGGGATCCGTTCCTCTACTCCCTATGAACAACTACCAAGTTTGGTTTTTGTGCCTGGTGGGGGTGCCCAGCACAGGATCTTCAACAAAAAGTGTTTACCGCACGGCAAATCAGCAATCGCAAGCTCCTGACCAGCTTCGGAGAACCTGGAACCCATTGTTGAAACTACCCATGAACCTTCAAGTAGGCAGCGCAAGACTTCCTCCATCAAAACCCTCCCAAAACTATGAACAGCATTGCCCCAGTAGCAGCATGCCATGGAAGTGCTCCAACAGTTCCTTGACTCGACTGTTTGTTGGCTGTTCAACACGCTTGCTGTTTACCGCTTACACTAGGGTTTAAAGGAATGAAAGAACGGAATAGACAATGGACACTACTATGTATGGTAGAGAGTTTAGGGCATGGAAAGAACATGAGACATACTATCACATCAGACCTACTATGTAGAGCGAATACCATGTTATCGGGCATGATGCAGAGGTCCACTTTCCCTACTTCCTGCTACCTCAATAAGACCATGGCCCAGATGTCGACGGGTTCAGAGAGCTTTACCTTCAACTTACCGGTGCTTAATAGGGAATAAGGGAATGAACCCCCAATATCATATATCCCTTATTCCCTCCCTACTATCTCCCCGGAAAGTCAAGCCCTATGGATAGATCAGAGTTATGATGGGATAAAGGACTATAGTCCCCCTCAAGTAGATAGAGTATGGGGTATATGGGGATCTTTTTTTAAGATACCCAAAGCCATATTCCATCTGGTTAGGAGGGACTATATGTAAGGCTTCGCTTGAGGAACTCTTGACTGCATGCTTGCTTGACTGACACAAGAAAGCCATGGTTTAGCTGGAGCCCCCAGCCAATACTAGTGACTTTAAGGGATCATAGGGATTATGTTAGGTCCTCTTATATTCCTATCATACCACTATTACAGGGCTGGGGGGTCCTCCTAAGTTATCATAGGAGAGCCCGGAGACATTTCTCCAAGCTTTCTGCTCTACTTCTTGCTGCTCACCATCTCTAGACAAGCCATCATTCACCATACACCTGCATCCAGCACTGAAAGAATCCCAGCCGCAACCAAAGCATCCACGCCGTGGGGGTCTTCTGTGCCTTCGGCGCCCTTGCCGGCCTTGCCTGCCGCAGCGTGGATCTGTCAGGGACAGGGACACTGTGCTGCTTTGTGGCATTGTGTGGAAAGGGGAATCTTTTCAAAACTACTGTAGGGTCTCCATACAGACCCACAACATGATCAAATGCTGATGTATGGAGCCCCCCACCCCCAAAAGAGGACTTATGATGAAACCGCATATTAGGATCTGACACCCTCCGCAACGTGACCCCGCCTCGTGCACGAGCGCATAGGCTGCCAAACACAAGGGCCTAGTAGTCAGGAGAAACCGCAACAGTTGAAGTGTCCAGACATCAACATGCTTTAACCCCAGACAGTCTGACAGGAAAGTCGCGCCTGAAAACACGAGAGTCCAGAAGGCAGTGGTTGCGGAACATCAGCCGACCAATGTCCCGAACGTGGGGCGTATGGGCCGTGTTCACCTCTTGACTTCCGCGAAAATTGTCGATGGCCATCTCGAGGGGACCCAGCTGAGCATCTAGGAACTCCGTAAGGTCCTGGCCACGACGGGACTTGTAGATGATCACACGGGACTCTTGACAGATTGCCTCTACCACGGCCGCTAACTGCTTTACGGAATGCAGGCAACATATGACATATGTCACATGGTAGCTTCCCAAAAAGAGGACCCCAATACAGACCCCCGAAATACTATAATCCTCATTTCAGGGACCCCAAAGGTACCCCGAACTGTGGGAAAGCCCCATATCAAACATATCACATTGCAAGTTCAGCAAGCAGGTCCTCTAGCTCACATAAATATCAGTTTCCATTTCCTTTTCCACTATCCCTATATGGGGGTTTCCTAAACTTAGGGTTACCTTCTGGTGGTTGTAGGATAAGGATCAGAGTCTTCTGGGGTCTATATTGGGCTCCCCCTATTCATGGAAGCTACCTGCCCCCAGGCCTCCAGCTCACACCACTCCAGCATAGCCTGGGTTGCTGTTAAGGAACTTACTTTAAGCTACCATCATGGATATATAGAGATAGAGTTATTAAAATGATTTTCCCAATATAGTAACTTAAAGTAAGTCGCTTAAGCCCCTATATCACCCCAGTTCCATGTTCTTTCCATTTGATTCTCCATGATAGGGGGATAATATAACTGAAGTTAAGTTTCTTAACAGCAAGCCGGTAGCATGCTTCAGGAAGTCGTGCCGCGCCCCGTTCAGCCGCAGTTCCGCATCAGCAGCCAGGCTAGGGCTTTCCTGGGTTACTCTTAAGGAACACCCCTTAAAGGGATTTTTAAAGGGATATGTAGGGTTTAGGTTGTGGGTTTCCCAAATAGCTGTTACAGGGGAGGGACCCCCTAGTTATAGGTTGGGTTACAACTTGGGAGAAAGATGGTTATGCTCCTTGACATCAAAAATTGGGCTATGGAAAGCGTATAAAGGTTTGAAGAACTTTGAAATAAGGTTAAGTCACCCTCTGTATATGGAACCACATCAACATCCAGTCTATACCCATATTACGGACAACTGAACTTGAGTGCAAACCCTAAACCCTAAACCACAGCTCAGTTTCCGTGAGACATGAGAGCCCTGACATCACTGAACTGCGCCGCCATATGGGCAAGCACAAGCGCTCCTGGTCTAGCGAGATGCCACCAGAGCCCTGTCGGGATCAGTAGGGTTTAGGGTTTAGGGGGATCAGTATGAATTTATATAGGGGTTATATAGGGATAATGGAAAAGAAGATGGAAACTACTATATTGTTAAAGAGTTTGGTTAGGTATGTGCTGTTACTTGGAGGGTTGGGGGGGCTTAGTAAGTAGGTTAATAAGGGGAATAAGGAGGGTTACTATGGGTTGTAGGGGTTATGAACCTACTTACTAGTTCCTCAGACCCTTCAAGTAGACCTTTAAGAAGTCTCTCCCAAAACCCTAAATCCTACACCCGCGGATTCTGGGAATTAAAAGGTCTAATAGCCCCTTTCTACCAAACCCTATATCCCTAGAATCCCTGAACCCTTTAATATAGTAGTTTCCATGTTCTTTTCCATTATCCCTGTATACCCCCTGTAGAACACATTATAGCAGCATATCTTTCTCTCTGAACCCTAAACCCTAAACCTAGATGAGCATCTTCTTCAATGCAAGGTCTGTCAAAGTAAAGTCACGGTATGTATACTCAGGGTTTAAGGTGTTAGGGTTTAAGGTTTGAGGGTTTAGGGTTTTAGGGTTTAGGGATACTCCCCCTAATGTGTTCTATAGGGGGTAATATAGGGGGTAATATAGGGGTTATATGTTTTGGTTTTGTACCTTTAGGGTTTGTACCCTTGGGCGTGGGTCCCTGAACCATGGAATATGGCCCTTAATAAGGGTATTTGGGACGCAAAACCCAGGGTTACAAACATTAACGGCGGTCCCAATATCAGGACTCCAAATTTCAAGCCACATGCTTTTCAAGACTGCAAACAACAAGTCTGGCCGTACGCCGTACGCTGCATGAAGGAAATCTCACACGAACCTAGTATGCCCCATTCATAGCCTACAATTTACAGCATTTTCGATCCTAAACGGGGCGGGATCGTCGCCATCTATCCAATACAGGGGCCGATATACTTACCAATATCATCTTTAGGTACCCTATACCACGCTGCTACAAGGAATTTAGGACGGTAAATATTAACTATTCCTATAAGACCCTTTGCTAGCACTTTCTGTTCTTTTTGAGTCTCCATTTACTTTTCTGTAAATCAGAAACTTGGCCTGTATAGAAACCCTAAACCGGTAAGTCTACACCCGCCTGGAGCTTAGCCGTGTCGGTTGCGACATCTTCCAACCTCATCAGAGAAGGCCTACACATGTGAGTAGTCTTATGGTTGAACCAAGTAAGATTCTATTCAATACTTTGCATTAGAATACTATACCCAAAATGGAGGATATAGTCTTGCTCTATATATAGGAAACTCCAAAAACCACTACTCAGGTGGAATAAACCGTTTGGGTAGTTTGAAGTGGTAGCTAGGGATTCTGTATCGTTAGCATTCAGGTAGTTTCCGAAATCAAAGTCTCCATTTTGGCACCTAAACACGCGAGGCGCTGTACTATAAGAGGGTTACTCAAAAAGGGCCCATAGTTTGTGGAAACAGCCCGCTCGTACTACCTGTCCCCTGAACCCTAAAGCCCTGTATCGTCCTAGTTTCTATTCTTTTTCCATTTTCTTTGCCATATGATTCTCCCTCACTGGGATAATTCTGCCTAAATGACAGCGGCAAGGCTCAAAATCGTGGAAATCTGGAAGTTTGTCAGAAGAGGGGTGCCCTTAGAGCATATGGGGATTCTGTACAAAGATTGTAAGGGGATTTTGGGGTCCCTGTTGAGAATTCCATGAGTCATTTGAGAAAGGCTCACCCTATTTGGCGGCCCAATTGTAGACAGGACCCTGATTCTCCATTTTTGAATTCCAAAGCTGACCATCCAGTAGTGGTGCTACTGGTGGCAGGAGCAGTAGTTGTGATGATGATGTTTGTACGAGCAGCGGTATATTGGCAAGGCATCAGTACCCGTGGCCATAGTAGCAATAGTAGCAGCAGCTGCAGTAGTAGTACCAACAGCAATCACTTCTCCTTCTTCTCCTTCCGCCCCTTTCTCCCACTGCTACCATCCGTCCAGCACCAGAAATTTTGACCAGCAAGAGAATGACTTACTGGTTGTTAGTGTTTGATAGGAGTAATGGATCACTACAGTAGCTCTCATTTGGACTCCGATAATATGGTAGTTTCCATCTTGTTTTCCGTTCCTTCATTCCCTACTAACAGCCAGCAAGGGGGTTCGACAGAGCGAAGCGCCCAACAACCCTATAAACACTTCACCATCGACCCTAAAGAGTAGTTTCCATTTTGTTTTCCATTTCCACAGTTGATTCTCAGTCTTCACCCATACATCCCCCAAAACCCAATTTCCACTTTATTTCTTAATTCTCCATTAAAACCCTGCAACTTTAAAGATTCTGAACCCTAAACCCTACATACGCCCTCATTTAAATGGCCCCCAGAACCACTCCTAAACCCTGAGCCCCATATAACCTCTATATACGCACCCCTTTGAAGGGACCTACGGTTCCATTTCATTTTCCATTTGATTCTCGATTCCTAAACCACTAAACCATAAAGCTTAAACCCTAAACCCCAACATCTGCAGATTCTGATTCTCCATTCCTGCCCCCCCTAAAACATAAACCTTAAACTCTAAACCCCAACTCTGCAGAGCGAAGTGCTGGTCCATAGCACCAGCATGCGAGGCACAGAGGGCGTGGGCCGCGCAGCGCGCGCGCAGGCATAGCTCCTGAAGCTAAGAAGATAGACTATACAGTGATTCTATACTCCCAACGGGACGCGATATGATGGGAGATATGAGGATAGATGGGGGTATATAGGGAGGGATATAGAGGAATATAGGGCCATACAGGCTTTAGTGATCTCACCCCAGCAATGCAGAATCAAATGGACAAGAAAAATGTAAAGTGAAATGGTACCTGGCGGTGTATAGGGATGTTCTTGCAGTTTAGGGTGTAAGGAAAGGAAAGCTTTTGGTTTAGGGTTTTCTCGAATTTGGGGGTCCTGGTAGAGTTTCTTCAGTGGCGGGAGGTCTTCAGGGCTAGGGTGGGGTTCATAAATTGACGGTTCAGGGTTTCATACGAGTCGTACGTGGCTTCTATGGCGTTGCGCATTTGGACTGCTTTTTTTGTCTGAGTCTCCTTACCTCTGGTTAGCAAGGAATGCGGGAATGGATCCTTACATTGCTCCCTACATGAGCTATAGTCTAAACTCCTAGTATCCCCGCTTAAAAAGCCCCATGTATTCCCCTATATACCCACTTTCAGGAATTTAGACTATAATCCCTTGGTTGTCAAGCCCTAAACCCTAAGTCGTTTTCTTTTCCACTCCTTCCTTCCCTGCTAACCAGTAAGTATAGGGACCTCGCACGAAGAAAGGGCTGCCAGGAGCTTTGCTGGGTTGCTGTGAAGGAGCTTAAACTAGGTTACCATGATATGGGCGCATCCTAAGTAGTAGGGCTTCCTCCTACTGGCAACTTATTTCAAGCTCCTTAACAGCTAACCAGTTTGGGCTTCACGAGCGCAGCATCTGGATGGATGGACGGATTGTCTACACGCAGCACGCGTTGGCTCTTGGATGTAAGGCTCAGCGGCGTATCTCTACTGCGATAAGGAATCATATCGCAATCTTAAAGATTTATCGCGGGTTCATATGGGTGGTTGTCAAAATTATGGTCCCTTTTTGGGAACGCTAAATACAAGGTGCCATATTCTAATAGGAATCCCAAAAAGGACCATCATTTGGACAACCACCCATATATAGTGTAGTTTCAAGGGTGCGTGCAATTACAAGCAGCTTGAAGCAATCCTCGTAATAAAGCTCTTTTTGCCCTAGGGCTCCCAGTTACCTAAATAATGGGAACTGGGGTTCTACATACCCTGTAATTACATGAGCTATAGTCTAAACTCCTAGTATCGCCCTGAGTAACCCCTATAGTAGTCCCCTATATAATCCCCTATATAACCCCCTTTTGAGGAGTTTAGACTGGAGCTCACATAGCCCAGTAACCTACTATTTGGGTAACTGGGAGCCTTAGGGTTTGCAGATCTGTCTTGGATTTTTGAAAAGACTAGTTCAGCAGTAGGGGGCTTGACATCTATCTCTCAGGGCTTGAGAGATTCAGGGCAGCCCTGTTGACTGAGTGGTTCACATAGGCTTAAAGCTGTAGAGTGTCCCAGCAGTTTGGGATCAAGTGTTTGAGAATGCTTTTGACAATTGCAACTGCCTTCTTGAGGCCCTATAGGTACTTAGGGTTTAGGGCTTGGGGTGTACCGGCCGGCCTGTGCGGCAGACAAGTCAGAGCTTAGCACGCTAGCGAAGATTCTGAGTCGCTGCTCATGATTTTTTTTTTCGTTCCTGGCGTGTTCATGCTGAGACAGCAGGAAACTGCGCCTGGATCTCCAAGGATTTTACTTTCTGGTGCCTGCTATTCATGGAATATAACCATGTGAGGACGATGATTCTCTCTCATCTCCGTCTCTGCATTCTGACATGGCGCTGGTACTAAGTCTTCGCATCTGCATGGACAATCCCCCTCTCCATGCATGGCCCAAACATGAAACAGCGAACAGGCGGGGTTTCCACACCAAGCCTTGCTAGTTTCACTACAGAGGATCGAACAAAGGTGCAGTGACAACACCAGATGCTGCTCTTTGAGCACAAATCTGGACCAAACCGCCCAGAGCGAAGTGCAGCTTGCTATTTGGGGGCCTGAACAATTGGCAGTGTCATTTTAAGGTCTATTTGAGGTATCTTATTCTTGGTGATTATCTAGGCCCTTACATGACTTCCCTTGGGTTCTCATGCCGCTCCTCTGTGATGGACTCGTAGAGCAAGGCCCAAGAATCCGGCGTAACCAACTTGTGGACCTTACAGACAGGTTGAGTTCAATTTTAGGGTTATAGTGCCCCTTAAGTAGATAGAATATGGTTTTGGGTATGTTATAATAAGATCCCCACATAGCCCAGATTCTATCTACTTGAGGGGACCATAGGGGTTTAGGTTCTAGGGGTTTACGGGTGGATTAAAGAGCGTGACCCACACGGCTGTTTCCAAAGAACAGAACGTCAGTGGTCCTGACAGGACAATCATCATTTCTTTGAAGTAGCCGTCACTAGTCCCCTCATACGAACATTAAACATCCCTCCTAGCCCTATCTGATATCAAATCTGCCCTCCAATATACAAGGTCTCTTATGTAGATTTTTTCATGAGGGGCGGGGTGCGGGGTGTTCAGCCCTAAACCCTTAGCTTTACTTTTTGGCAAGCCAACTGGGCCACCGGCAATACTTTCGATGGACCTTTCCAGCGCGTCTGGCAGGGCTTCCACGCGCGCCGCCAAACAATGGGGCTTGATGAAGACCTACCGGCTGAGTTTAGGATTTTAGGGCTTAGAGTTTAGGGTTGAGATTCTGAACTTAGGTCGGTACCTTGTTTCGAATACACAAGATGGTAGAAGACCAAGAAGACGTGAAAGTGTACTTCAAGTGGGGTCAATGGTCTCCATTTATCTTCATTACCTCCGAACTACCCATGAACCTCCAGGTTTAAGCCCGCAACCCTAAATCCTAAACCCAAAATCCTGAATCCCACGCCCTAAACGGCTTAACCCTAAACCCTAAACCCCTGAACCCCAAGACCTGGGCAGCTGGCAGGCCACCCTCCCCGCGCAAAGGAAGGCCCTGGAAGTCTGGTAAGTCCTGGAAAAACTCAATCTTGGATTTAGAGTTGTTTTTTTAACAACCCTTCGGACTTTTCGTCTGCCTAGGGTTTAAGGTTTAGGGTATGGGGTTTTGGGGGGTTTAAGGTTTAAAACGCTTGAAAAGGTAAAGCTTCTTGTTTAGAGCTTATGGTGCAGGGCTTAGGGTTCAGAGTTTGCAACAGCTGTGACTGAGTGGTGGTCGGTAAGGAATGAAAGTATAGAAGCTGGAAACCACCATAAGCTAGTAGGCGTCCAGTTTTGAGGTTCGCAAAATTTGGATGTTTTCTGTACCGCTGTAAATGAAGAGGCACCGTTTGTGATAAATTCGAGGCTCTGACTTTCTTTCTATCTACATGGGTGAAGACTGCTCCCAAAACGGGGAAATGTGTATAGGGGCCCGTATTATAACGAATTCCGGGATATCTCTACATGAGCTATAGTCTAAACTCCCCCTTAATAACCCCTATAGTAGTCCCCTACATAATCCCCTATATAACCCCCTGTAAGGAGTTTAGACTATAGCTCTACATGTTGGATGGCACCATGGCAAGCTAGGTCGGTCCTGGGCCTTTGCTGGTGCGACTTCATGTTGCTTTGGCTCAGCCTCCTGAGGACCCGCCGTCTGGGTGGACGTAGTTGTGGCGTTGTCCTCCCCTTCTTGGGCCTTGGCGGTCTGCTGCTTCTCTGGATGTTCAGCCTCCTTCTTGGATAGCTCCACAGCTAAGCGCAGCTGCGCCTCCTCAATATGCCTGGAGGCTGCACCGCGCCCTTCTGGCTGGGACTTGACCTCCTGCTGTGGCGTTGACTCAGTTTCGTTCAACGCGAACACGGTTGCCTCATGGGCATCAAGAGTAGGCGTCACACTGAAGACCCCGCTGCCAGCACGTGGTAGCTGAGACTTGCCCTTAGCCTGGGTTGCTGTTAAGGAACTTAATTTAAGTTACTATATTGGGGAAACCCTATTATTTACTATAGATACCCATTATGGTACCTTAATTTAAGTTCCTTAACAGCAACCCAGTAGCCTTTGAAGTGTCCGTGCCCTGAAAATGGGCTCGCATCATTTCGCGATGCTCTTTGCTGTGCCATCTTTGGACCGTCTCGTAGATGTCATTCACTGCCTCAGCTAGCACTGGTTTAGGGTTTAGGGTTTAGGACATGACAGCTCTTCGGCCATTTCATAAACATGGTGCCTGTTTTTGGGGTCTGTATAATGAGGAAAGAATGTGTTGGAGTATATGGACGGTTCCATAAAACGCGGGCCCCAATAAAGACTCCAATGTGACATGATCCTTAGTATATGGGCTCGCGGACCGAGACCCCTCACTATTGGAAATAAATCCTATAGATCCTAGTCATATCTCTATATGCCCCTACATACCCCCAATTATACTCCCTTTTAAGGCTTCCTAGCTCGTGGAAGCCCCCAACTGTCATTGACAGCCTCCTCGCTCAGATCCACAGCGTCGGAGCGCCCACATCTGAAGCGCATGCCTAAGCTCTTCTGCCACGGCTGTGGATAACGGTGTTTAAGGTTTTGGGGGTTCGGGATGGTATCCCCAACGATGGAGAATGAAACTGTAAATCAAATTTACAACTTGGGCTTTCCTTACCTATGTAACGCAGAAGCCTGAATGGTCCCTAAAATCATGTGGAGGTCTATGGGAGGTACCCTATATTGTAGTCAATTGAAACTAGGCCCACAACATTGGTAATCATTCCTATAACCCTAAACCCTAAACCCTAAACCCTAATTCCAGCCTCAATGTTACTTTTCCAGTTGGTTCTCCACAAACCCTAATCCCTACACCCTAGAGGCCCTAGCTATAGTCCCCCTGAAGTAGATAGAATATGCGTTTGGGTATAATAAGATCCCCATACCCCATATTCTATCTACTTAAGGGGGACTATACCCGTTTAGCCCCCGCAAAGGGACCACAGTTTTGGCAACTGTTAGGCCCCTTGGGTCCTTAAAGGCTCCTAGTAAAGTACTTCTAGCAAATCTGTGGATCATCGTGGTTCGCTTCTTGTGGGTTGGGTTTACCTAGACCCCCCAAGTACCCTAAAATAGGGTCTATGTAGCTTCTATTTGGGGATACTCAGGATCTATAGAGGGTACTTGGGGGTTCTAGGTAGCAATTCTTTGAAGGTGCATGCACTCGCTTTTGTTGGCTGCCCACTCTCTCCAAGTGAGCACGGAAAAATCAAAACCATGTGAGGGCTGCACTTGCCCCTCCACGAATGTTTCTCACGTCTAGGGTCCCACACAACCACGAAACTGATGCATTGTTATCTTCCTTTTAAAAGGACTTCCAAACAGGAAAGTGTTGGACCTTCTTTCGTATTGAGGCCCTCCAAAATGTGTTTTAGTGCGCCTTATGCAGGATCAGGGGGGTGTAATTTGGGCTCAGAATGCCTTCCTACATAACTGCTTTGGGCCCAAACTATCTTATTGTTAATTATTATTCGGGTACGGGCCCTTAGGTTCCCTAACCCCTAAACCCTAAAACCCCGGCCTATCCGCTTCGCCGGCTGATCTTCGGCACCATTCTCCGCATCTCCAGTGAGCTTCCGTTTTTTGTCCGGAGATGTCGTAGTGCTGGGCGCCGCATTGCCCGTCGACAAGCCTAAGACAAAGGGGAGACATGAATTATCTGGGGTTAGAGTTTAGGGATTAGGGTTTAAGGATTAGGGTTTAGGCATCAGGGTTTAAGGATTACGGTTTCGGGCTTTTTTAGGGTAAGGCATTTGGGTTTGGGGTTTCGGGAGATGTGACAAACACTGAACTCCGATCTGATGTGCAAAAAGCATCCCACCTTAGAATCACCTGCAGATGAGTAACGTTGATTTTGGTGGTTGAACCTAGTAAGATGATATTCCTTATATAAAATACTATGCCCCAAAAGGAGGCTATAATCTTACGTTATATTGGGTACCATAGTATTAGTCTCAGACATCAGTCGATCCGCGAAGCGAACTACGGGCAGCCATTGGCTACCATAGTATCCCCAAACCCTAAACCCTGAAACCCTATACCCTAAACCCGTATCCCTAAATAAGCTACTACTCAGATGGCTTCAACCTAAGAACACGCTAGGCTCCAGACCTAAGGGCCGCAGCAACGCCTGAAGAGCCTGCGTGCTAAGAACAAGACTGGGTTGCTGTGAAGGAACTTAAGTTAAGCTACCAGAATTGGTATATAGAGTTTAGGGCTTAAGCTACCATAACCATTGAAATTAATTTGCCATAATGCGTGTATATACAAATAGTAATTAATATGCTTTCCCCAATATAGTAACTGGAACTAAATTCCTTAACAGCAATCTTGAAAAGCAGATGCGCTCGTCTGGCGGGAAAACATGTACATGTATGGAAAGGTATAAATGTATGAATCTGTCTAATCTATATTGTCTACCCCTCTAGATGTACATCTATCTATCTATCTATCTATCTACATGTGTATCTGTACATACATACATATATATATATATAGAGATCTTTTGACTGCATGTTGAGAAAATCTACACACATGATGTGCTTTCTGGTTCGGTTGTCTTTCATCCTGGACTCCTCTAGTTCCTCCTTCTGATGCCTAAATGCCTTGGGTCGCCTCCCAGGAAGCGAAAAAAGCGTTCAGGCACGGGATCTATGGGGAGCATCATCTCAGAGAAAGCTTCAGGCCAATACCTGACTCCAAGCCCAACGGGACCTTTCCTTTTCTTGATGTCTGCTCGGCATCGCGTTGAACTCCAGAATACTGAGCAGAGCGCGGAAAGTCTTCCTGCTTCAAACCGGTCCCCGAAATTGTGACTCTGAAGTCCTTCCAGCAAATCGTCTCTCTGAGCAACCCAGAAACGTAATCTTTTGCCATCTCATGAGAAGCCCGTGCAAGGTAGCAAGAAATTGACGCTCACCTGATCAAGTCGCAAGAAACAGACGCTCAAGCCCCCAAATGAACGTGATTGGCGTGAGTTGCCAGCGACAGTCCAAAAAAAGTCTGACACAAGTTTCCATTTCATCTAGCCCACATGTCAGGTGAAACCCACCAAGATTACCTCCACAATCCTCTCAGAGCCTGTTAATGCCGATGGAGTACATCCGCATAATTGTTCATCAGAGTATTGGATCAGCACCCCAAGACTGTCGCATCCTTGCTGTTATAAATGCCAGCAAAAACAAACAGTCCCCATGTATTACAAACTCATACCCTGAAAAAGGAGCACCGTACCGGTAGGCTTCAACCCTAACCCTAACCAAAATTAAAAGCTAACCGGAAACATCCTGACCTCCTAGAATGCTAAACCTTCGAAACCATGCAGCAGCGAACGCCCGTGCAACCCCATAAGCCCTTAAACACTAAAGCCTACGTGCCCCGGCTCGTACCTGCCCCTCATGCTGCAGCGATCCCCAGCGCAGGAAAGTCGGAACCGCCATCCGGCGGCAAACCTGGGTTGAGCTGCAGGCTCAACCATCCAGGGGTTTAGGGCTTCAGACCGTAAACCCCAAAGGTTTTGGGTTTAGGATGGCTGAAGGCTCAACAAACCAAGGGGTTGGGGCTTCAGGGTCTGGGTGGATTCAGAGCTAAGCTCTGATAGATCCTTCTCCAAAATGGGAATCCTTTCAATTCATAAAGACTTGGCACCTCATCGTGGAAAAGAGGCACGGAGTCCCTTACTGTGAGAATGACCCGTGTGGCTCCTTGCGAAGATTTTGTTGGGATCTCTCTCTGGATTATGCTCATGCTCTTTTTGGAGAAACCCATACGGGACTCTCAGCCCGCAACTTGGCCTAACTGGCTGGTCTCAAAATGGAGAAACCACGAATAGGAAGCTGTGGTTTTCAATGATCTGAGGCAACCCCTAAGCCCTAAACCCCTAAATCCTAAATCCTAAACCCCTAAATCCTAACCCCTAGACCCTAAACCCCCAAGCCCTCATGAGAGAACAGGAGTTGACAAGTGACCTTGGCGCTGAACCACTCCCAGCCAGCACCCAGAGAGGGGCCATGCTGAGTCCATAGCTGCCGTCTAACCTGCTTGAAGTTAGGGTTTAGGGTGTAGTGCTTAGGGTTTAGGGTATTGCGCTTAGGGTTTAGGATTCACGGCTTTAGCGTTGGGGATTTAGGGCTTAGGCTAAGGGTTTAGGATTCAGGGCGTAGCGTTTAGGATTGAGGGCTGAGCAGTTAGGATTTAGGGCGTAGGGTTTAGGGCTTAAGGATACTGCCCCTGTAGTGGAGAATCTACTGGAAAAGAACATGCAAAATCAAATGGAAACTGCGAGTATACTGGAGGTTTCAATGTGCTTGGGTGGTTGAACCAGGTAAGGTGATATTCTGTTTGCAACACGCTTTACCCAAATTGATGATCCAATCTTACTCTCTGTTAAGGACTATAGTATTATTCACGGATATCAGCCCCATTACAAGTACTACTTGTGCTTTCCACCCCAGGCTCCTACCGGGTGGACAGGCTTTCCAAGTAATTCGGGTCTAGGTTTAAGGTTTAAGGTTCAGAGTTTCGGGTTTAGGGTTTCGGGTTTAGGGAAACGTCCCTGGGCCCTGGAGATCTGTACGGGATTTGGAATACCTGGAAGTGGACGATGCTGAGAAGTAGGGCGAGCAGAAACAGCCTGATACAAGTGCAGCTCTTCCCTGTATACTGTATAAACTTCTAGAACCCTTTATAATCCCATAGATTGTAGAACCCTACAAGATCCTATAAAACCCCATAGAATCCTATATACTAATCCTATATAACTCTAAATCTATCTTTACACACGGCATCTTCAAAGGGGTTCATGTACAGGTCTCCGTATCATGACACGGACCCCCTTAAAATTGTGTGTACGTATACAGCGTATGTTGTATATGTATTTTGGTTTCTTCCCCCAGCAAAATAGAATCCATCATATACGGGCGGTGCAAGTGTGAGCGACAGAGCGTGTGCTGCTGGCATACGCTGCATAGCATGCAGCGTGTCCTCAAGCTGCAACCCCATAGCCTAATCTCTACACACTGAACTCTCATAGACCAAAAGCCTTGAAGCCTAAACCCCCAAACCCTGACATAGACCCTAATCCTGGCCTGCATGGCTGCAAGAAGGCTGTATCGCAAAGCAGGCGGC